AACTAAATCCTCACTTCTACGCTTGCCTACATCATTGCCTCCAGCACTGAGGCAAATAATAGATTGATCCCATTACCGTTCATGATGTTGTCAAGCCGGCTAACAATGTCCTCCATCCCAGCCCCAGGAAAGCTTACCCTTTGTCTCCTACTTCCTGTCCTTCAAGCAGAATGCCCTATCCATTATCTAACCTGGCTATCCCCAACAACAACAATATTCTTACCTTCCTTGTTGTTCGTTCGTCGTGACGATCCCAGTAGTCGACTCACATTCGTCGGGTAGCACCGAGAATGCGTTGGAGGTTTCCACAGGAGTTTCCACAGTAGTCTGTTTCTTCTTCATCGTTTCTGGCTTTCCATTCGTCTTCTTGATCGTCAACTTCGTCGTCCCCTGCTGTCCACCCACTGACCACGATCCCTTCTTGACCTGAGGACTCGAAACAGGACTACTACGAATCCTCTTGTTTTCCTCGGTCAATCGCCGTATCACCATCTTCGCTGCCCTCAATTCTTCCTTAAGTTGCTGGTAAAGTTGCTCGATGGAGGGCATCTTGGTTCAGCCCACGGAGCAAACAAACACTTCTTCTACAGGTCACCACTGAGTTAAGTACAGTACTAGCCTCAATAACCCAGCTAGGTAGACTGTTCCACTCATCAACTACCCTATTTCCAAACCAATACTTTCCTATGTCCTTTCTAAATCTAAACTTGTAAAGTAAAAGGACACAAGTGCAATTAATGTGACATTTATGTCACATTAGCCTTCAGTAAAGGTAACTGTCATGTTGAATGTTCATTCTTTTGTGCATGTAAATCTATCTTTAAGGTAAAAAAAAATGTTGATACTTCTGGGTGTCAGGAACGGATTAATTGTATTTACATTATTTCTTATGGGGAACATTGATTCGAAAATCGTAGATTTCGATAATAGTAGCACCTCCAGGAACGGATTAATTACGATAAACGAGGGACCACTGTATGTTGCTTCCTGCTCATACAGAGATGTCTGATAATGATTCAGATTCAGAAAGCCTAGTGTCACAATTAGGAAGTATGACTATTTGATGACGTAGAAGAAAGAGCAACTAAGGCAGAAGTGAGCCTAGTGTCTGAGCCTAGTGTAGCTCAGTTATCGCTCACGCCTTCCCTCCTAACTGTTAGTATGATGCAGCCTCATACTAGCACCGTGTATGCTACACCTGTATCTACTTATCCTAGACCAGATCTAGACTCTCTAGGGACGGTTGGACGAGGTGCCCGACCTAAGGACCGTCCAAAAAGACATGTTAATTTCCCTACTCCTCCATTACCCACTGGTCCTATCTCTCAGGAACAGTTTGAGAGGTTTGAATGCCTCATTATGTTGCAGACTGCACAAATAGAGGCACAGAGGAAATTGAACGAAGAAGATTTCCAGAGAGAAAATGTTCGTCTTGGAAGACAACAGACTGATAGATCACAGGACACATTTAATGTTCAGAAAGCTGCATCCATAGTTCCTAAGTTTTTTGAAAGTGACTTAGACACCTATTTGGTGTTTTGAGAACCAGGCACGTGCTATGAACTGGCCACGTAAGCACTGGGCTACCTCGTTGCACACAGCTTTGACAGGAAGAGCTCAAACTTGTACCTGTTGCTTACCATTTGCCAAGTACATTAGATATGACGCTGTCAAACGAACTATTCTAGAGACATAAACTTGTTACCTGTCTGTCTCATCCTTAATAATTATGTTACATTAAATTAACGTAATTTTATGCCCAAATACCTTTTGTTACTTGCTATGCAAATTCATAAAGTAACTAATCCCTCCAGCCCATAATTAACTATATATACTCATGTCTAATTTTATATTATATATTTACAGTATTGAGTGTAAAGGAGACATTAAGCTGAGTGTTGAGTGGGTAGTGCCCGTGTGGGCGAGGTACTGCGGACGCAACACTGTCCTGCCGCAGACCCCCCCCCTTCACTACACACCTTAAGCTGTTTTTCATACTCAATGTTCATACTGCCTCGAATTCCACAACCACTACTTAAGAGTGAATGCAGTCTCCTCTACTATGATCGAGCCTCAACGTGCCCTCCTTGTCAGCGCTATCGTCTCTACACTGATGTACATATTCACGAGTATGCAGAGATACGATGCTGTGTACTGCCCTAGTACTAGGGCATATCCTAGTGACGGACGCTGTGAAATAGTCGCGGTGCTTGGCACAAAGTTGACTTTGATTAATATTTATATTGATAATAATATTGATATGAGTAATCAGAAAAATGTGAAAGACATTAATGCAACTCCTAGTGCGACCCTCTGTCGTGTTGGGGGGGGGGGTTGTTGCAACCCCTGAATGGTTTACAATATTATTAGTATATATGTAATGTATATTATCTTTTCATTTAATTTTATATTGCTTATATTTGCGATAATAGCTAAATCGTAAATATGTTGCTTTATATTGTTATTTGACGTACTATGTTGTTAGATGTACATAAAATTGCTCAGTTCAAGTCTTGATTGTCAAACTACTTAATCATCGCTTGTCGCTCGTTAGACTGCCGGTTTTCTGAGCTGTGCTGTCCACGGGGCTATCACGTGATCGAGGGGGGGGGTGTCCTCACCTCTCGTAAAGTATTCAGTCTGCTCTAGACTCTCTTGGTGGTTGGACAGATTGTCTGTCTCATTATTCTTGTTATTTCTGTAAACTCTGTTCACAGAACATTGTATGGACTTAGTGATTTTCGACGTTGTACTGAGGTTGTGTGTCACATAGACACTCTGAACATCTAGGTCCTTAGCTATGCATTCTGACCTAATTTTGTACTGGTTTCTGTGTATTGTCACAGTCAGGTTTTTCCTATGCTGAACTTAGATTCAGTAGTATGGAGTTTTTGTAACTTTTGTGGAGGATCTGCTGATGGTCCCTACTTAGTGTCGTTATGTTATCTCCCAGTTCCTGATTCTGTGTCGCAGTCGCTTGTTATTGCATTGCTATTGGGCTTAGCATTCTTTGTTGTTCAAGCAGACTGTTCGGGTTGCCAGTCGTCAAGAAGTTAGTTTATTTGAGGACTTTGTCAGTCACTTGTTTAAGTCTAGTCGAGTCGTGAGACATAGTGAACTACTTAGAGCACTTACACACATACACACATACTTGTACATATTTGTAATATCTTATTAAATGTTAATGTACCTGACGGTAATTAAGAATTATAAATGTGATATGTGCTTTCAGCACAATAATATTGAACTCGAGACTGATTTTATTTTGATTGCTGTGATTTAATTTACTTTGATAATATACCTCTAGACAACTTAATGCTTAATAAATTTATTAAATTTTAATTTCTCTAGTTAGTAGCCTACCAGTTGTAATCCTAAAGAACTATTGAATAATACTGATTTCTAATGGATAATTGGACAAAGATACTGACTACTTGTTACGAAAACTCAGTAACAGGCTGGATGCTAGAAGGGCAGCCCTTTCTAGTATTCACTGGAGATCTCTAAGCTTTTAGAATCGCGTTTTTTGTAACACCAGCTCATTTATACTTTATCGTGCGGTCTACCACCTCATTTACACGTTATCGTGCGGTCTACCAGCTCATTTATACGTTATCGTGCGGTCTACCAGCTCATTTATACTTTATCGTGCGGTCTACCAGCTCATTTACACGTTATCGTGCGGTCTACCACCTCATTTATACGTTATCGTGCGGTCTACCAGCTCATTTATACTTTATCGTGCGGTCCACCAGCTCATTTTCACTTTATCGTGCGGTCTACCAGCTCATTTATACTTTATCGTGCGGTCTACCAGCTCATTTTCACTTTATCGTGCGGTCTACCAGCTCATTTATACTTTATCGTGCGGTCTACCAGCTCATTTATACTTTATCGTGCGGTCTACCAGCTCATTTATACTTTTATCGCGCGGTCTACCAGCTCATTTATACTTTATCGCGCGGTCTACCAGCTCATTTATACTTTATCGTGCGGTCTACCAGCTCATTTATACTTTATCGTGCGGTCTACCAGCTCATTTATACTTTATCGTGCGGTCTACCAGCTCATTTATACTTTATCGTGCGGTCTACCAGCTCATTTATACTTTATCGTGCGGTCAAACCAGCTCATTTACACTTTATCGTGGGGTCTACCAGCTCATTTTATACTTTATCGTGCGGTCCTACCAGCTCATTTATACTTTATCGTGCGGTCTACCAGCTCATTTTAAACTTTATCGTGCGTCTACCAGCTCATTTATACTTTATCGTGCAGTCAAACCAGCTCATTTATATTTTATCGTGCGGTCTACCAGCTCATTTATACTTTATCGGGGCGTGTACCAGCTCATTTATACTTTATCGTGCGGTCTACCAGCTCATTTATACTTTATCGTGCGGTCTACCAGCTCATTTATATTTTATCGTGCGGTCTACCAGCTCATTTATACTTTATCGTGCGGTCTACCAGCTCATTTATACTTTATCGTGCGGTCTACCACTCTTTTAAATACTTTATCGTGCGGTCTACCAGCTCATTTATACTTCATCGTGCGGTCTACCAGCTCATTTATACTTTATCGTGCGGTCTACCAGCTCATTTATACTTTAGCGTGCGGTCTAGCAGCTCATTTACACTTTAGCGTGCGGTCTAGCAGCTCATTTACACTTTATCGTGCGGTCTACCAGCTCATTTACACTTTAGCGTGCGGTCGTTTATTGCCTTTTTAAAGTCTTACCTAACCTAAACTACCCTTACCTAACCTAACCTAAGCTAACCTAAGCTAACCTATTCTACCCTAACCTAACCATAGCTGGTAGACCGCACGCTAGAGTAGCACCAGTGGCTCACTTCATGGCACTGGGTCTAATGAGGTAATATACCGTTATTTGAATCATACTAATCAAGCCTTAAATAACGAGTAACTAAATAGGTTACTCTAACCTAGAGTAAATACGAATGGTGTTTTCTGAATACTGATCATTAATATAACATACCTTTCGTCTCGTCACTGGAATCAACAAAATCCTGGTTTAGTTCGACAGTGCGGAATCCAACACGAATACTCTTGCTGGAAGTTTCAGATTGATTTGTATCGGTCCACAGGATGGTCATATTATAAAGTGGCTGAGAACCATAGCCGTTGGGCCACCACATCTCTATCTCACCCTGTAAAACCAAAAGCAATTTATTGTTAACTATTTTTACAAAATTTGAGACCATGAATCACAGCTTTCAAGACTCTGGAGGTGAACACTTCTCCAGGTGAGAGACTGACCTCCTCACACTACTTCTTTAGTGTTGATGGACTGAGTACATCATTTCTCATTGCTTCTGTTGTTACTTCTATATTCGACTGAAGAAACCTACCCTGAAGTAGAAAATTTTCGAAAATAATATTTGACAGTTGCACTTTACTATATATAATTTTTATATATGTACGAATTATAGGGAAATAAGCATGTTGAACGCACCAGGTAAAGTGTAGGAGTGAAAGCAAGATTGTTGAGGAACCAGCAAGATGCAGGATAAGAAACTGGCTGTATAAACCAATTCTTAACATTGAAACATATAAGTGAACATTATTGTGAAAAAGGTAAGAACTTTTATGGCATTTATGAATTTAGAAAACTTATGCAATAGAGATAACTCAGGAAGCAATGTAAAAATGTTGCAAATATATGAGAGAGGCAACAGGTTGCTAAAAGCACTAAAGCGTTTCTTGGGGAATAGTGAGCCTGAGTTTAAAGTATTTAAGAAAGACGGAGGGATTATTTTCCAGTATAAATTTAAGACTGGGATGTGTGATGTCACCATAGTTGTTCAACATATTTATATAAGGGTTTGTAAAAGAAGTGAATGAAAAGGAGTGTGATTAAAATATAACAAACTCAATACTAAGTAGGAGTAGTCACAGTTATTTATTTGCCGATGATATGGTGCTTTTGGGAGATCCTTAGGAGAAGATGTAAGGATTGGTAGATGAACTTAGGAGGGTATGTAAAAGAAGGAAGTTAATAAGGATCATGAGAAAGAGCACTGTGAAGATCGTATTCAAAAATCCAAGCAATGAAAGACTGGAGGGAGGGAGGGAGAAGGAAGGAAATAAATGTATTCAAATATTGAGGAGTGGACTTGTCGGCAGATGGGTCAGTAAAAAATGAGATAAAGTATAGAACTGACATGTGAAAGAAATGTGAGAGGTGCACTAAGGCATCTGTGGAGACAAAGAATCTTATCCATAAATGTACCAGAGTATAGTGGTACTAACACTGTTATATGGGTGTGAAGTGTAGGCTTTAAATATTGAAGCGACAATGAGGCCGGAAGCAGTGATTTGAGGGAGACATGTGGAATGAATATAATGCAGAGAATTAGGATCATGGAGATCAAATGATGTCGGGTTACCTAGAGTATAATCATGAGGGTTGAGGAGGGGTTGTTTAGGTGGTCAGGGCATTTAGAGAGAAAGGAGCATAACAGAATGACTAAGAAAGCATTTATATCTTGGGTGACAGGAAGAAATGATAGGGGGGGTTGTCCCAGGAGGGGTTGGAGGGAGGTTATGAGTGCTAAAGGCTGGAACATCTAACAGGCATGTGAGAGCATGTTAGGTCGAAAAAAATAGAGACAGGTAAGCTTTATGACAACGTGGTGTTGTATTGTGAGCAAAGTGGCGGTTCTGAATGGATTCTATTAAAGGGAATAGCCAGACTTGAGTCTTGGAGATGAGCAGTACAATACCTACATTGTAAAGACAGGGTGAGAATGTTGCACTTCTAAGGTTTATCGGAACTGTGATGTCATCTCACTTTTATCAAGAGATCCATATATATATATATATAATATATATATAAAATATATATATATAAATAAAATATATATAATATATAATATATATATATATATATATATATATATATATATGTCGTGCCGAATATGTAAAACTAGTCAATTAGCAAGAACTCTTTAAAATTAGGTCCTTTCTAAAAATTTCTCTTATACGTTTAAAGATATATTTTTTTCATTAATGTTAATGTAAAAAATTTTCATTTTGCACCAAAAGAATCTTAGAAAACTTACCTAACCTTATTATAACAAGAACAATTTATTTTAGCCTAACCCAAGTAAATATATTTTTTATTTGTTTACCATATTTTAATACTAAACAAACACAGTGAAATATATTTTTTTCGTTAGGTTCAGAATGATTTTCGCGAAATTATTGCATACACAAATTTTCACTTGTCCTGTATGGCAAGATGAGCGTTGCTATTTAAGACAAGATCGCAAGTTCTGCCTATTCGGCACGACATATATATATATACATATATATATAATGTTGTGCCGAATATGTAAAACTGGTCAATTAGCAAGAACTCCTTTAAAATTAAGTCCTTTCTAAAAATTTCTCTTATACGTTTAAAGATATTTTTTTTCATTATTGTTAATGTAATTTTTTTTAGTTTTGCTCCAAAAGAATCTTAGAAAACTTACCTAACCTTATTATAACAAGAACAATTTATTTTAGCCTAACCCAACTAAATATATTTTAGATTTGTTTACATTAATTTAATACTAAAGAAACACAGTGAAATATATTTTTTTTCGTTAGGTTCAGAAAGATTTTGGCGAAATTATTGCATACACAAATTTTCGCTTGTCCTATATGGCAAGATGAACGTTGCTATTTAAGCCAAGATCGTAAGTTCTGCCTATTCGGCACGATATATATATCGTGTTAATGTTGCAGTTTAAAAACTGGAGTGTAAAGCACCCTTCTGGCAAGACAGTGATGGAGTGAATGATGGTGAAATTTTTCTTTTTCGGGCCACCCTGCCATGGTGGGAATCGGCCAGTGTGATAATAAAAAAAATAAAATAAAATATATATAATATATATATATATATATATATATATATAAAATATATATATATATATATATATATATATAAAATATATATATATAATATATGCAAAACAACAGCTGTGAAAGAATAGTAAAATTCCAAGCGCTTTCGTGACTTCTCACATTATCAAGGAACTATAAAAACAATACAATATGCCAAATTAAATAGATTAGCCTGTTCTATAAACTTTACTGTTGATTCGAAGAAAATAATTCATTGCTTTGTCTAGATGTTTTAATTAAATTTAAAAGGGAATAATGACTAAAAATTTAAAATTTACAGAAAGCCTACAAATAACTGTTCCTATGTACACTATTATTCTTCCCATCAAGACAGAGTTTAAACTGTCTGTTTTCTCAACAAGTTTTTGAGAGCTTTACGTATTTGTAGTCCAGAGTTCATAGATGAAGAAATATCCAAAATTTATGAAACAGCTAATGATCTGAAATACCCAAGAACGTAATTGAAAAAATCTTTAAAATTGCTAGAAATACTTTTTGCAATCCAAAAAGGGACAACCCAAACCCTTTTTCAACTAAAAATATGTTGGTTCTCCCTTACCATGAAAACTTGGTTGATATGCCTTCTCTTCCTAAGACTTTTAATAATCAAAGTTGTATTTAAAAATCTTGATACAGTAAAAAAAACTTTTGATAAAGAATTCCCCTCAAAATGCTGACGGATGTGTCTATAAGATCCCTTGTAAAATTTGCCATAAAGTTTATTTACGGTCAAATTGGTAAAAATCTCGAACTAAGATTAAAACAACATAAATACAGCATCAGAACTGGACAAGATTCTAATGTTCTATTTATTCATGTGAGATATTTTAGCCATCCAATTGGATTTATCAAAAAGTTGAGAAAGTTGTATCAAGCAAGTCCATGGTTGACAGAATATAATTGAATCTTGTTTTATAAAAAGCAGTTTTGAAAATAATATGAATATTTCCTTTGGTTTATATAAATTGGATTCATGTATAATTAAAAAATTTGGGAAGAATTTAATGATACATTAAACAAGTAATAAATCTTAATTCTTGGGTAGAATACTAGATGTGTTTCAGAGTTGGGTGTCGTCAGGCGTGTGTGAGGTGTTGCTTTGTTGTGGGATGTGATGGTGATGTGCAGTCTTGACCCTTTATATGCCTTCCTTTGATGTATTGTTTTTATAGTTTCTTAATAATGTGAGAAGTCAGGACAATGACAATTCTGATTCATCTTAGTCTTCTTGTTGTTGTATCCCATCTCTGGAACATCCTTGTCAATTTCTCTCAGTATTTTATATGTCGTTATCATATCCCCCCTATCTCTCCTGTCCTCCAGTGTCGTCAGGTCGATTTCCTCTAACCTCTCCTCGTAGGACATGCCCCTTAGCTCCGGGACTAGTCTTGTTGCAAACCTCTGCACTTTCTCTAAATTTCCTTACATGCTTGGCTAGGTGGGTTTCAAACGGGTGCTGCATACTCCAATATAGGCGTGACATTCACGAAGTACAGGGTCCTGAACGATTCCTTATTGAGATCTCGGAATGCTGTTCTGAGGTTTGCTAGGCGCCCTTATGCTGCAGCAGTTATTTGGTTGATGTGCGCCTCAGGAGATGTGCCCGATGTTATAAATCACCCCAAGATCCTTTTCCTTGAGTCAGGCTTGTAAATTTTCTGGCCCTCTAGACTCTACCCCTCTCTGCGGTCTTCTTTGAACTTCCCCAATATTCAAGCTTTGCAACTTGATTGGGTTGAACTCAGGAGCCAGTTTCTGGACCAGGCCTGGAGCCTGTCCAGATTCCTTTGTAGTTCCGCCTGGTCCTCGTCCGACTGAATTCTTCTCATCAACTTAACATCATCTGCAAACAGGGACACTTCTGAGGCTATTCCTTCCGTCATATCGTTCACATATACCGTAAACAGCACCGTTCCTGGGACTGACCTCTGTAGAACTCCGCTCGTCACAGGCGCCCACTCTGACACTTCGTCACGTACCATGACTCGCTGATGTGTTCACGACAGGTTTTCCCTGATCCATTGCAGTGCCTTCCCTGTTATACCTGCTTGGTTCTCCAGCTTATACACTAATCTCTTGTGAGGAACGGTGTCAAAAGCCTTCTTACAGTCCAAGAAAACGCAATCTACCCACCCCTCTCTCTCTCTTGTCGGTTCCCTGAACCATTCATCTACATTCCTGTCTGACACAGCAACATCTTGGGATCTTAATACAGGGAATTCTTCACTTGCCTAACCCTTGGGCATGACCTACTTACACATTGGACAAATGTGATACCACCTACGACTGCTGCACCTCTCCTGCCTACAGTTTATAAGCCACTTCTTCGCACATATGCTGTACTTTTTCAAGATTGATGGACTGATCAAATCGACTCAAGGCAAGGGATTGATTGCCTCTAACATTCTCCATTGTATGGACTGATGAAGCCACTGTGTGGCGAAACGTTTCCTCATTAAAGATACCCAAATGTTGCATATGTGCCTAAATTATCAATCTAAGAAGGGTTTAGGTCAGATTTTGGAGATTCCTTTTAATTATATTTGTGAAGCTAGTGGAGGAAGAGCTTTTTTCCATTTTCGGGAGGTCCAAATTTTAGGGTTGTTTATTTGCATGGGTTCCTAGATAGTTGAGTCATACTCAATAATACAAAGAATAAGTATCTTAAAGAATACTTATTTCTTGTGTTGTGTGTGTGTTCTGTTGCAGTGCTCCATGAGAGTTGGAGCACTGGTTGTGTGTGTTCTGTTGCAGTGCTCCAGTAAGAGTTGGAGCACTGGGTTGTGTGTGTTCTGTTGCAGTGCTCCAGTGAGAGTTGGAGCACTGGGTTGTGTGTGTTCTGTTGCAGTGCTCCAGAAAGTTGGAGCACTGGTTGTGTGTGTTCTGTTGCAGTGCTCCAGTAAGAGTTGGGAGCACTGGGTTGTGTGTGTTCTGTTGCAGTGCTCCAGTAAGAGTTGGAGCACTGGGTTGTGTGTGTTCTGTTGCAGTGCTCCAGTAAAGTTGGAGCACTGGGTTGTGTGTGTTCTGTTGCAGTGCTCCAGTGAGAGTTGGAGCACTGGGTTGTGTGTGTTCTGTTGCAGTGCTCCAGTGAGAGTTGGAGCACTGGTGGTGTGTGTTCTGTTGCAGTGCTCCAGTAAGAGTTGGAGCACTGGGTTGTGTGTGTTCTGTTGCAGTGCTCCAGTAAGAATTGGAGCACTGGGTTGTGTGTGTTCTGTTGCAGTGCTCCAGTAAGAATTGGAGCACTGGGTTGTGTGTGTTCTGTTGCAGTGCTCCAATAAGAATTGGAGCACTGGTTGGAGTTCGTTCTAGGTGTTCTGAATATATATAATGCACAGTAATAGGTGTGAGAATATTAAAACTTGAAAAGAGTGGGTATGTTTCTTGATCCTGATTGGGTGATTATTAAAAAAAAATTATGGTAACAAAAGGGTTTCAGGTGATTATCTTCAGTAAATCCCCAATCAAAGATTGTTTAAGTGAGGTAGGAGAGATTATAGTGTACTACATGATGAGTAGTGTTTTTAAAGTGAAAGGGAGGAGATTATAGAGTACTACATGATGATAGTGTTGTTAAGTGAGGTAGAGAGATTATAGTGTACTACATGATGAGTAGTGTTGTTAAGTGAGGTAGGAGAGATTATAGAGTACTGCATGATGAGTAGTGTTCTTAAGTGAGGTAGGAGAGATTATAGAGTACTACATGATGAGTAGTGTTAAGTGAGGTAGGAGAGATTATAGAGTACTACATGATGGGTAGTGTTAAGTGAGGTAGGAGAGATTATAGAGTACTGCATGAGAATAGTGTTCTTAAGTGAGGTAGGAGAGATTATAGAGTACTACATGATGAGTAGTGTTGTTAAGTGAGGTAGGAGAGATTATAGAGTACTACATGATGAGTAGTGTTGTTAAGTGAGGTAGGAGAGATTATAGAGTACTACATGATGAGTAGTGTTGTTAAGTGAGGTAGGAGAGATTATAGAGTACTACATGATGAGTAGTGTCGTTAAGTGGAGGTAGGAGAGATTATAGAGTAAATACATGATGAGTAGTGTCGTTAAGTGAGGTAGGAGAGATTATAGAGTACTACATGATGAGTAGTGTTGTTAATGAGGTAGGAGAGATTATAGAGTACTACATGAGAGTAGTGTTGTATGTTCTGGAACACTGGGTATTGATGAGTAGTGTTGTTGTTCTGGAACACTGGTATTGATGAGTAGTGTTGTTGTTCTGGAACACTGGGTATTGATGAGTAGTGTTGTTGTTCTGGAACACTGAGTATTGATGAGTAGTGTTGTTGTTCTGAAACACTGGGTATTGATGAGTAGTGTTGTTGTTCTGGAAAAACCTGGTATTGATGAGTAGTGTTGTTTGTTCTGGAACACTGGGTTGATGAGTAGTGTTGTTGTTCTGGAAACACTGGGTATTGATGAGTAGTGATGTTGTTCTGGAACACTGGGTATTGATGAGTAGTGTTGTTGTTTCGAAACACTGGGTATTGATGAGTAGTTTGTTGTTCTGGAACACTGGGTATTGATGAGTAGTGTTGTTGTACTGGAACACTGGGTATTGATGAAATAGTGTTGTTGTTCTGGAACACTGGGTATTTATGAGTAGTGTTGTTGTTCTGGAACACTGGGTATTGATGAGTAGTGTTGTTGTTCTGGAACACTGGGTATTGATGAGTAGTGTTGTTGTTCTGAACACTGGGTATTGATGAGTAGTGTTGTTGTTCTGGAACACTGGGTATTGAAGTAGTGTTGTTGTTCTGGAACACTGGTATGATGAGTAGTGTTGTTGTTCTGGAACACTGGGTATTGATGAGTAGTGTTGTTGTTCTGGAACACTGGGTATTGATGAGTAGTGTTGTTGTTCTGGAACACTGGGTATTGATGAGTAGTGTTGTTGTTCTGGAACACTGGGTTTAGAATGATAGTGTGTGTTGTTCTGGAACACTGGGTATTGATGAGTAGTGTTGTTGTTCTGGAACACTGGTATTGATGAGTAGTGTTGTTGTTCTGGAACACTGGGTATTGATGAGTAGTGTTGTTGTTCTGGAACACTGGGTATTGATGAGTAGTGTTGTTGTTTTTGGAACACTGGTATTGATGAGTAGTGTTGTTGTTCTGGAACACTGGGTATTGATGAGTAGTGTTGTTGTTCTGGAACACTGGGGATTGATGAGTAGTGTTGTTGTTCTGGAACACTGGGTATTTATGAGTAGTGTGTTGTTTCTGGAACACTGGGTATTGATGAGTAGTGTTGTTGTTCTGGAACACTGGGTATTGATGAGTAGTGTTGTTGTTCTGGAACACTGGGTATTGATGAGTAGTGTTGTTGTTCTGGAACACTGGGTATATTTATAAAGTGACGACTGTTTGGGGAAAATGTCTTAGATATATAATGGATGTGCAATTTTGACCATCAGTCTTGTGTTTATATGTGCGAATTATTTTTTTTTTATGATAAAGTGAGTATCTTTAGTTATATTTAAGTGTTTCACATGTGTTAGCTTCATCTACTTGTTGGTATTGTATACCATTATTATATTAACATACCTGTGTATTAAGACAAAAGAAGTCATTCGTGAAGAAACATTTTCTCAAATAAATATCTTGAAATATGTAAACGTGTCTTCGTCTACATACTGTCGGTGTCACCATGCTAGGTCTTCAATTATTTTAATTTTAAGACAAATTACACAAATTGCAAGAGAATATATAAATTCATAATATGAAATATTCAACCACCTCATCAATAGTGAAAGTAAAAGTCAACTGAGTTTCATAATGTTCTACTGTGGCACTGACAGGATGTTCTGAGGTGTAGATGTTGCCCACGGTGATCACCACGTTCCCAAAAACATTACCTGACTGTATAGCAGCATCACACCCCACCTAGAAGGAAAAATGTAAATGTAAATAAATAAATTTTAAAACCCTATTAGTTAATAAAGTAGTTTAGTAGCCAAATTGTTCTGAATTCGGTTTTCGCTGGAGATAATGCATTAGTTTCTAAACACGGATTTAGCTAGTGTTTGGATAATAACCCAAAGGGTTGTCAAAATACATTGTCTTAATGTTTCCGCAATATTTATCTATTAAATACTGTAAGTGGAAGCCTCGCTCTCGCTCTGGATCCGCTTATCACTTCTACCACTGACACAAGGAAACCTTAAAAACATCAACAACTCCGTGACGACACATTTCCCTCATCCCGACATGTTTTCTTTCAGGTTAAATTAAAACACCACCTCTAGCTTTTTCGGGTCAAATGTTTAATGTTAATAACGATGGTTCCTAAAGTCATGAAGTGAGCCTGAGCGCTGATTTTAACATGTTAAGATTTCGTAAAGCATGTATTATATTTGTTCTTCTCATTTTATTCTTTATATGCAATGATGTATCTCTCATTATCTTACAACAATTTTCGTAGGGAAAAATTATTTTTGGTTTCATTGGTCATTCCATTTAACTCATTATTTCTGCAATAAGTGCATCTTCTTTATTCTGGTCACCAAAATTTATTCCCATATTCCTGTTGACAGCATCAATTTAGTGTCTATAATTAAACGTCAGAACGAAGTGGTGCAAGAAGGTAAGCCTTCATGTGTGGAGTGTGTGTGTGTGTGTGGGGTGTGTGTGTGTGTGGGGTGTGGTGTGTGGTGTGTGGTGTGGGGTGTGTGTGTGTGTGTGTGTGTGTTGTGTACTCACCTAATTGTACTCACATAATTGTGGTTGCAGGGGTCGAGACTCAGCTCCTGGCCCCGCCTCTTCACTCATCGCTACTAGGTCCTCTCTCTCTGCTTCCTAAGCTGTATCATGCCTCTTCTTAAAACTATGTATGGTTCCTGCCTCCACTACTTCACTTGCTAGGCTATTCCACTTCCTGACGACTCTATGATTGAAGAAATACTTTCTAACGTCTGGATATCTTTATTGTAGACCGTTTCGCCATCCAGTGGCTTTATCAATACAGATTCAGGACATAATAGGAAGACAGTAGAACTATATACAAAAGATGAGGTAATCAGTCCCTCGGCCTTGGAGTTAGTCAAGGCCGAGGGACTGATTACCTCATCTTTTGTATATAGTTCTACTGTCTTCCTATTATGTCCTAGAATCTGTATTGATAAAGCCACTGGGTGGCGAAACGTCTACAATAAAAATTCCAAAAAAACCCACAGTGAAATATATTTTTTTTCGTTAGGTTCAGAAAGATTTTGGCGAAATTATTGCATACACAAATTTTCGCTTGTCCTATATGGCAAGATGAACGTTGCTATTTAAGCCAAGATCGTAAGTTCTGCCTATTCGGCACGATATATATATCGTGTTAATGTTGCAGTTTAAAAACTGGAGTGTAAAGCACCCTTCTGGCAAGACAGTGATGGAGTGAATGATGGTGAAATTTTTCTTTTTTCGGGCCACCCTGCCATGGTGGGAATCGGCCAGTGTGATAATAAAAAAAATAAAATATATATATATATATAAAATATATATAATATATATATATATATATATATATATATATATATATATATATATATATATATATATATATATATTATATATATATGCAAAACAACAGCTGTGAAAGAATAGTAAAATTCCAAGCGCTTTCGTGACTTCTCACATTATCAAGGAACTATAAAAACAATACAATATGCCAAATTAAATAGATTAGCCTGTTCTATAAACTTTACTGTTGAGTTCGAAGAAAATAATTCATTGCTTTGTCTAGATGTTTTAATTATTAAAGGTAATAATGACTAAAAATTTAAAATTTACAGAAAGCCTACAAATAACTGTTCCTATGTACACTATTATTCTTCCCATCAAGACAGAGTTAAACTGTCTGTTTTCTCATCAATGTTTTTGAGAGCTTTACGTATTTGTAGTCCAGAGTTCATAGATGAAGAAATATCCAAAATTTATGAAACAGCTAATGATCTGAAATACCCAAGAAACGTAATTGATAAATCTTTTAAAATTGCTAGAAATACTTTTTGCAATCCAAAAAGGGACAACCAACCTTATTCAACTAAAAATATGTTGGTTCTCCCTTACCATGAAAACTTGGTTGATATGCCTTCTCTTCCTAAGACTTTTAATATCAAAGTTGTATTTAAAAATCTTGATACAGTAAAAAAAACTTTTGATAAAGAATTCCCCTCAAAATGCTGACGGATGTGTCTATAAGATCCCTTGTAAAATTTGCCATAAAGTTTATTACGGTCAAATTGGTAAAAATCTCGAACTAAGATTAAAACAACATAAATACAGCATCAGAACTGGACAAGATTCTAATGTTCTATTTATTCATGTGAGATATTTTAGCCATCCAATTGATTTTCAAAAAGTTGAGAAAGTTGTATCAAGCAAGTCCATGGTTGACAGGAATATAATTGAATCTTGTTTTATAAAAAGCAGTTTTGAAAATAATATGAATATTTCCTTTGGTTTATATAAATTGGATTCATGTATAATTAATAAAATTTGGGAAGAATTTAATGATACATTAAACAAGTAATAAATCTTAATTCTTGGGTAGAATACTAGATATGTTTCAGAGTCGGGTGTCGTCAGGCGTGTGTGAGGTGTTGCTTTGTTGTGGGATGTGATGGTGATGTGCAGTCTTGATCCTTTATATGCCTTCCTTTGATGTATTGTTTTTATAGTTTCTTAATAATGTGAGAAGTCAGGACAATGACAATTCTGATTCATCTTAGTCTTCTTGTTGTTGTATCCCATCTCTGGAACATCCTTGTCAATTTCTCTCAGTATTTTATATGTCGTTATCATATCCCCCTATCTCTCCTGTCCTCCAGTGTCGTCAGGTCGATTTCCCTTAACCTCTCCTCGTAGGACATGCCCCTTAGCTCCGGGACTAGTCTTGTTGCAAACCTCTGCACTTTCTCTAATTTCCTTACATGCTTGGCTAGGTGTGGGTTTCAAACGGGTGCTGCATACTCCAATATAGGCGTGACATTCACGAAGTACAGGGTCCTGAACGATTCCTTATTGAGATCTCGGAATGCTGTTCTGAGGTTTGCTAGGCGCCCTTATGCTGCAGCAGTTATTTGGTTGATGTGCGCCTCAGGAGATGTGCCCGATGTTATACTCACCCCAAGATCCTTTTCCTTGAGTCAGGCTTGTATTCTCTGGCCCTCTAGACTCTACTCTCTCTGCGGTCTTCTTTGAACTTCCCCAATATTCAAGGCTTTGCACTTGATTGGGTTGAACTCCAGGAGCCAGTTTCTGGACCAGGCCTGGAGCCTGTCCAGATTCCTTTGTAGTTCCGCCTGGTCCTCGTCCGACTGAATTCTTCTCATCAACTTAACATCATCTGCAAACAGGGACACTTCTGAGGCTATTCCTTCCGTCATATCGTTCACATATACCGTAAACAGCACCGTTCCTGGGACTGACCTCTGTAGAACTCCGCTCGTCACAGGCGCCCACTTTGACACCTCGTCACGTACCATGACTCGCTGATGTGTTCACGACAGGTTTTCCCTGATCCATTGCAGTGCCTTCCCTGTTATACCTGCTTGGTTCTCCAGCTTATACACTAATCTCTTGTGAGGAACGGTGTCAAAAGCCTTCTTACAGTCCAAGAAAACGCAATCTACCCACCCCTCTCTCTCTCTTGTCGGTTCCCTGAACCATTCATCTACATTCCTGTCTGACACAGCAACATCTTGGGATCTTAATACAGGGAATTCTTCACTTGCCTAACCCTTGGGCATGACCTACTTACACATTGGACAAATGTGATACCACCTACGACTGCTGCACCTCTCCTGCCTACAGTATATAAGCCACTTCTTCGCACATATGCTGTACTTTTTCAAGATTGATGGACTGATCAAATCGACTCAAGGCTAAGGGATTGATTGCCTCTAACATTCTCCATTGTATGGACTGATGAAGCCACTGTGTGGCGAAACGTTTCCTCATTAAAGATACCCAAATGTTGCATATGTGCCTAAATTATCAATCTAAGAAGGGTTTAGGTCAGATTTTGGAGATTCCTTTTAATTATATTTGTGAAGCTAGTGGAGGAAGAGCTTTTTCCATTTTCGGGGAGGTCCAAATTTTAGGGTTGTTTATTTGCATGGGGTTCCTAGATAGGTTGAGTCATACTCAATAATACAAAGAATAAGTATCTTAAAGAGATACTTATTTCTTGTGTTGTGTGTGTGTTCTGTTGCAGTGCTCCAGTGAGAGTTGGAGCACTGGGTTGTGTGTGTTCTGTTGCAGTGCTCCAGTAAGAGTTGGAGCACTGGGTTGTGTGTGTTCTGTTGCAGTGCTCCAGTGAGAGTTGGAGCACTGGGTTGTGTGTGTTCTGTTGCAGTGCTCCAGTAAGAGTTGGAGCACTGGGTTGTGTGTGTTCTGTTGCAGTGCTCCAGTAAGAGTTGGAGCACTGGGTTGTGTGTGTTCTGTTGCAGTGCTCCAGTAAGAGTTGGAGCACTGGGTTGTGTGTGTTCTGTTGCAGTGCTCCAGTAAGAGTTGGAGCACTGGGTTGTGTGTGTTCTGTTGCAGTGCTCCAGTGAGAGTTGGAGCACTGGGTTGTGTGTGTTCTGTTGCAGTGCTCCAGTGAGAGTTGGAGCACTGGGTGGTGTGTGTTCTGTTGCAGTGCTCCAGTAAGAGTTGGAGCACTGGGTTGTGTGTGTTCTGTTGCAGTGCTCCAGTAAGAATTGGAGCACTGGGTTGTGTGTGTTCTGTTGCAGTGCTCCAGTAAGAATTGGAGCACTGGGTTGTGTGTGTTCTGTTGCAGTGCTCCAATAAGAATTGGAGCACTGGGTTGGAGTTCGTTCTAGGTGTTCTGAATATATATAATGCACAGTAATAGGTGTGAGAATATTAAAACTTGAAAAGAGTGGAT